TGAAATAACTTAGTTTTTTTTTAATCTACTGGTAATGTCAAGTAGGTTGCCATATATATTACTTCTTGCAGGAATAATTAAAATTAAATAAATAAAAAATATATAAATTAAAAAATAAGTAATAAATAACCTGTTGTCATCACAAGTATACTGTAGAAATAGTTTCCACTGTATTCTGTTAAATATATTTGTTTCATGGTTTATGTATTAATAATGTATCGTTTGGTACGATTATATAGATGTACTATTATATAGTTATGCAAATATTACAATTATTCAAAGAATTAAAATGGCGTGTAATTGTAAGGGTAGGGTAAGTATATGATATGATAAGGTTAGAAGGTATTGCTAAATCCCACAAACTTCCCAAAACACACTGCGGAAAACCAAATCATGTAATTGTGATTCACTCACTCACATATCAGTAAGAAAATTAAATACATTCATAAGGACCTATTTATTTGGTTAAAATGTTGATTTTTTTAAATGAAAAATGCCTGCAAATACACCACAAACCTCAAAAAACACATAACGAACCCATCCAAACCATTTAATTGTGATTATAAAACCCTCTTTTTATCATAACAACCTATTTTTACTGGGTTTAACAATACCCATAATGAAGTTCGAAATTTCAGTAAAATTGCGATTCCGTGAAAATGGCTACAACTAAATTATTTTAGTATTAAAAAAAGCATTAAATTGTTGCTATTTTTTAATATTTAAATAAAAAATAACGTTTTTTTTTTGTTTTGGTTTTTTTTATCTATAGTATTATGAATATGTAATTCCAGCAAAAAGTCACTCCATCCTAGGTACTAACCACTCAATAAAACCTCCCAACCTAACATACAATATTTGTAACAAAGACAACTACGTTGGCAAAACCATGAACCCACTAAGATTGCGCATTAACCAACTCAAACACAACGCCCTCGACAAAACCGTAGAACCACATTTTAATTTGCCCTATCATTCTAGTACGGTAACAATGTGCGTGTTACAATCATCGACTCTAACTTCAATTCCACTTACAACAACAACATGGACAGGGGTATTATCATAAAAAGTGATTCAATTTTTAAGATAGCACCTCGTAATAATGATCATGTGCCCGCTTATATATTATTTTTGGCAAACTAACATTGACTAGCTCATGTTTAACGTTTTGAACCATGAAAACAAAGAACTTGAAACAGTCATTTTAATTAGTATCTTGCTGTTGTTTTATTTCCTCCATGCTTTAATCCAGAGTCTCTATTTATTTAATTTTCAAATCAATCAAGACATTTTCTTTACCTCCAGTTTTTTTTTGTGAATTGAACCGCGGTGAGTGGCATCTTCTTTACGATCAAACAGGACTAGAGGGATAGGAAGCAAACTTAAAACATTGTACGAGCATTTTTATTCCACAAACATGAAGGTGATTGTTTAGCCGGTTTCAGGCCTTAATTTTGGGTTACTCACTCTTTAATGCTCGTCCTACCTAATTCATTTGGCGTCCCATACTCGATTTCTTTTTGTACAGACAAAACTACGGGACTTCTGACAAAGTTACTGGAAATGATTAATTTATCATGACTTCATCGGCGAGATTGAACGTAACATAGGCCTAGGTTTTCGTAAAATTGCTGTAAAAAATTCGGTATATACCGTAGCTAATAACAAAATAGGCCAGTGTCATCGGCTGTGTATATTGGCTATAAAATTGAATTGATTAGATTAGAATTTGAATATATTATTATAGCGCATCATCATGGCTCTCTCTGCGCTCACATTTTAAAGGAAAAGCCAGAGTAAAAAAAACACAAAAAAAATATACAGATAAGATTAGACACCAGCCTTAATACGGGTCTAAAGGGATATAAAAATGTATATAGGCATAGTTAATAGAGTTGGGTTTTTTTTAAGTACCTGTAAACCGTTCCAAAGTAGGGCCTCCTAAAAATTGTTAACGTGTCAATAGAGAGTGGGTTTTGCTGAGATGATGGCAAAAAAAAATAATGTTGTGTTGCCCTCAGCTCCGCGACCGACTGAATTTTTTCAAAAAATCGGGTCGGCATTTTTTTTTTTTTTTTTTAAATTTTGTTTAAAGGTCTTTCTTTCATTTAAGTATAAATTCGAGAAATACTGTACCACTTCCGAAATTAACATTTAGAACATAATATCTAAAACAGACATGTATTTTTTACAAAATCGGGCCATAGATGCACGCGTAAAAAATCGGTAAAATAGAAGGCATAATTTTGAGAACCGAACTCGCGACGATGACGACGACGATGTATGCACGCCATCGGATCTATCTCTCGCGCTGAGCTGTCAAGCCATGATTAGGTCATTGAGAAAGAAAATGCCTAGCTTATTCTTCACTATTGTACAACTAGTGGTTGCTTGATTTAAAAATCGCATTTTCCATGAACGATATATATATATATATATATATCTGTCTCTT